CCACTGCGACGATACAGTCAAGGCGTATCGTATGAAGAGCTTACTACATTGTGGTGGACCAAGCTATTGGATACTCGAAATTGTACTCTTACTAGAGCAGAAAACCTGACGAGGTGAAAAAACTTAAATGTACTAAAAAAAAGAGGATTTGGTTTTATTAGGTGTGCTTAGGTGTAATACAATAGTGGTTTATCCCTCGGTTCTTGTGAGGTGCCACTTTTGTACTTTGAACTAGCCCCCTTGTACCTCGCTGGGTGGGCTGGCCTTTTGGGCCATGCCAATATCCCAGACACCTTCTCAGTGCTAAATATATATATTCTGCCCGAGTATTGTGCCTTCTTTTGTCTTAAAGGAGTCTCGGGACGCTACATAGGTTTGCAGACAGGGCATCCACCGAGGGCTGTACTCTCAACACTAAGAAGCATGTTCCAATAAGTTTCACCGCATTATTATGGTACCCAAAAGGATTAGAAACGCTAAAAAACATTGGTTAATGCAGTTAACGATTTGATTGCGACAAAAAAGTGCGAGAGATTTAATTTTATAGGTAAAGTGAAATATTTATCAGAGGTATGGAAGCCCATCAAATTAAATTCAAGTAAGTAGATTTGAATCTCTCACCTAAGAAAAATTAGCTGATTACTTTAAATCTCTAAGATGTTGGTTGTGCGACAGGGCACAAAAGTACCCAAAAGTCCAAAATGTCTGGGCATTTTTATTTCCTGGAAGAAAAGGGCAGATAAAGTCAGGTACAAAAGGCGGAAAAAAAATGAAAAAATAACCTAATCTATAGGGAATGTTCTTTGATGAATATCGCAACTTGGCGTCAGTATTATTTGATTTAAATTTAGCGTGAATAAATCTGGTGGACATAAATCTGACAGAAGCGAAAAAAATTCACAGCATTAAATAATTTGTAAACTTAATGGTTCTTTTATATCAGACATTTTCTTGCTCTTGACAGGGCAGTAAAAATATGTCAGCACGGCCTTAAAGGTTTTAATCGCTCGAACTAAATAAAAATAAATAAAAGCAATTTCAAGTTTCGCCGCTGAGGGGTTTGTTAAATGATTCTTTGGCAATGTTCGACATCCCTGCACGTTTTTGTCCTATTTGTGCTTTTAGAACGCATATTTTGTTTATTTATATCTAAGCATAAATTAAGGGTTTTGATATTCGCATGGAACACTAGCTTATTGCCTGTTTCGTTTCTTTTACCTTTGATTTCTTAAAAGACGTATGCCTTAAAAGGTGTGGAAATAAAGCTTTATTCTTGAAATGGCTCTGCGAAAAGAGGGTAGGCCCCGCTCTTCCTTTACACATGTATAGATGCCCAGAGAGCTGTGGTCCTTTTGAAAAAACTCCGCAGTAAACTTGCTGATGGCTCAGAGAAGTCGCTGCGAAATTCTATGGAACTTCTCATTAGTGTCATGGAGAGTGATCTTTTTAACGCTCTTATAGGTACAGCTAAAATTAAGTATGCTCATATCGGTAGATATTAATGAGTACTACAGGGAGATGCTTGGTGTTTATCCAGACGCAAACTTATCTGAAGCTCGTGACCAAGAAAGTACACAAAATCAAGTAAGTTCGGGCATTTTAGGTGAATGCATACCCTACAATCCTGTTTTATACTCAATTGTGCATAAGCAATCTCAATCAAACGACCACGTGATGCCCCTTTTCTTGCCCCAGATTTACTTTGATGGCATCCCTTAACCAAACAAATTCCTTTTAATTTACCTCTTCTATGTTATGCCTTTGGGAAGGTTTTTTAAGTACGGTCATTTATTTACCGCTATTGTGTCTACAGGTAGGACCAAGCAAATAATTCTTCGAGTTCCTTTAACTTGCTTATAGTTTTTTTCTACAAAAACACGTTATGAGTGCTTATTCAGTCATGTTGATTTTTAGACCTGTAGACTTTCATACTTTGTTTACTTTGCATAAATAAGCAATAATAAAGTGATAGCAAAACTATTTTGTGTCTAATACTAGCCAGTCGTACGCAGGGTGGTATCTCGATTCTTTGCTTAAGTTGTCATTAGCTAAAGTGATATGGAAGACTGCATATTAGTGGCTTGAGGAGGGATTGAAAGGCTGCAAGCGCAGCCCAAAGGTCATTCAGTATAGTGGAAGTTTTGCACCCTAGACTGCAGTGCTGCCTGGTTAACCACACCGCTAAACAAAGTATCAAATCAATGTAGTAGTAATTATCTTGATGACCACTTATTAAAACACTCTGGTTTTCTTATTTTAGCGCGACAATTTTAGCCCAACTAGTGACTTCGCATCCAAACAACCTTCTAATCATGAAGGTCCTCTTTTTTAAGTTTTGTACATATTTTTGTTAATGCAATGATATTTCTAACATAAATTACAGTCCCATATTTATCTATAAAATCACTACTTATGTAACAAATATGAATGCTTCTTTATATTAGACCCGCAGAAGTGCTGAGGAGGGCTGCAGTACGCGGTCCTTAGGGAATTTATTGTACTATTTTGATACGGAACTATTTTTCGCACAAAAATACTTTCGATCCATTCCTAAATATTTAATCCTTTGTGTAGACATCACATCACAAGGAGAACCAAGTGACTGGGAATACATTGAGGTCGTGATCTCGCGTCCTGCTGGTAAAAATGTGAGTTTCGGCTTCAGTATTGCCGGAGGTTATGATGCACCTCAAGAGAACGGTGACCCAAGTATCTACGTCACAAGAATTGCTCCTGGAAGCATAGCTGAAGCTGATGACCGTTTACGGTACGTCGTGCCATCTATCAGATACGTGTCTGATTGGGTCGTTTGTCTCCAACTTTTTGGTTAACTAAAGAATCAGAAAATGCAAGAAAGTAATTTTGTCTATCAGGGGAATCACAAAACCCTTCATTTAGGAGCCTATAAACTACTTCCCATGCAACTCGGTCGATCGTTCGGATCTGTAAAACATACTCTATCGTACATCTACAGCATTACAAGGCCTAGACGCTTTTTCCTTTGTTGGGAGTGCAGTCATTTGGGTTATCTTTTTATTTTTAATTTCTCAGACCGTTTGATCAAATCATCTCGGTCAATGGCAGTGATCTTACCAGTGTATCAAACCAGGAAGCGGTGAGGATATTACGGGAGTCCGGTGATACATTAGCCATGGTAAGTTGTATTTCCACCGATAGCAGTCTTTTTTCGTTTGCCTTACTTTAGTCGTACTCGATTGACGTCAGGTATGCTGCTGTTTTGTTGCAATTGAGTTAGCCTTGAAGATGCTAGAATGAGAGGGTGGTGGAATAAGTGATTTGTACAATGAATATATTGGTGAGAGGGAGATACTGTCTCCATTCCTGGTAGTCGATGAAGTTCTAGTGCCCCAAAGTGGGCTGACAGATTATATACTACCAGGGTACAGACCAAGCCACAAGGTGGAAGCATAACCTCCGCTTTAAAAGTGACAAAGTACCAAAGTTTTTTAAGCCCTTACTTAGTTTATGGCCTTATTTGAATTCGGTCTTTTTATGTCTTTTAAAGATTATTCGTCGATACACTGGTCCTGAGGTTGTTCCATCCGATGGTGACTTGAACTCTCCAACTGTAAATGCCACCTCACCAGACAGTAACAACGAAGGCACCGCTAATGAAGACATGTACTACGAGGTGCTTCTTTGATATTTTTATCATTTTACTTCCCCAATCTGGCAGTGAGTCTTCAAGTTTGTGAATTTATGCTTTTAGGTCAGTTTGTTAAAGCCATCGGAGAGTGTTGGTCTCGGGTTTACCATAGCAGGAGGACAGACGTCTGATGGCTATCCAGGAGGTATCTACGTGACCAAAATCACACCGGGCGGTTTGGCGGAAGAGGATGGACAAATCGAACCTGGCGATCGTCTTCTTCAGGTGACCTATTGCGCATTTTTGAATATTACCACGAAGCATTTGAGTCCTCGTTCACACTAAATCCATCCCCTCCTCTCGCATTCATCCATCTATCCATCCAGCTTTCATTCTATTTAACCATCTCTGGGCGGTGGATTTTATTGCTACATCTCCTTCAGATATTGTGAGAAGCTGTTGAAGCTTTGAAACTGAGATTTGCACGGCTTGTGAAGCAGAGGAATCGAACCGTGCCGATATCACCTGGCATCTGGTGGGAGAAGGATGCAAGAGGGAGATAGCTGAATGCAAACTAGAGAATAACCCTGAACTGATTTTTTTGATCCTCTTAAAGATAAATATGAGTCCTAATTACCTTTACCATTATCAGCCAATCAGAAAAGGAGATATACGTGACTGTCTTTTTTGTGACGTCCCTCTAGGTTAATGGCCAAGAATTGGACAATGTCACACATGATGCTGCAGTTCATCTCCTACGCAATGCTGGGATTCACGTGCATCTTGTTTTGCTGCGACCTAGAGAGTCCACAGCCAGTCCAAATTTTACCTCTACTCTCACCTCCGATTATACAATTGGTCGAAACAAGTGAAGGCAGCACAGTCTGATCTCCGTCTATTTCCTTTTTACTTTCTATCGAGTTCCCCACTTCCTTATTTACCTCATGGAGGGTATCCAATTATTCAGGTAAATTTAGAAATATCATTCCACTGTGTGTTAATTTTGACGAAGGAGCCTGGATGGAGTTGAAGGCAGATGTAGTGTTAACCGAGATAAACATTGACATCAGTAGTAATTTGCATCTTCACCAGAGTGAAAAAAAATCTTGCGAGCGTCAGGATGTTGTGTCATTTATTGTAATTACCCTTTTTCATTACAGACTTAGATTGATCGTTCCTTTAAAAGGTTGCTTCTTCGCGTGAAGCATGTGCATGAATTATTTGCCACTGACAGGTGGCAGTTGGGTTTTTAGTGTTACTTTGCCAAGAAAGACGCATTACTTTCATTAGGGAGTTTGAGAGTAGATGCTCTTCAGCTATGGAGAGCAATCCTTTATCACGAGTGACTAAGTGGTTGGGTGGTTTACGGAACCAGCCGACGGTAACTTGTTGGGTCTTGTCAAATACATGTGACAAAGCGAAAGCAGCACTTTGAAGGCAGTCGGCACTTCGCATTCAAGAGGACGGTGGCAGATTTATCCGTGAGTTTGGATGCTTTAGCACAGTGAAAGGATAATAATATGGAAGTGTGGCCGATGCACGTGAGTCGAGTTAAGTCGTGATCTTGACATGAAGACGTGATACCTTTTTGGACTTCGGCTAGAAGTGTACACGGTGGAAAACAGTGATATCCAATTTACCAACGCCAAACAAACAACTGTGCTGGCCATTACAAAGGAGACCTCTTTATGCGAATGATACTATCCAGAGAGCCTGGACTACTTACCTCAATGCGTCGGCGCAATCATTTGGTCAGGGCTACCTGAAATGTAATGTGTTGAGGGAGGCTTACGCAAACGCTACATTATGGATCGCACATAAGCTCGACTGAGTAAGTGGCGTCAAGTGGAGTGTTTGCAAATGTTGCGAGTAAAAAAGTTTAACATGACTTAAGGCATTCAAATATTGTGAGACTTCCCAAAGTAACTATTTTGAGTGGATTTTTAGGTTATGTACTGATTCCGCAGGTCAAAAAGTTACACATATTCCTCATCGATGTTGCAGCAAATGTTTTAACATTCTCTCCTTCGTTTCATTTTGCTTTCACTTTTGTTACGGAACAAATGCATACTAGCAAGATTCTAACTAAATAACAGAGAATTTAATGTGCATGCTTAGGTGCACAGAGCGAGGTTTGAAATTCACTCCTGATATTTGTTGACGTATATTTCGAAAAAAAAAATTATAAGTGCCGTTTATTCTGCGAATTTTTTATGTTAGATTAGCATTGTTGATAGCAGTGATTGTTTGTATTCTCTGCTTAACGCGCTCGCACTTATGAAATGAGCGATAACCCACTATTCGCATCTTCTCAAAGTGCAGCCTCCTGCATATCCTCTAAAATATGTCACTGAATGGGATCACAGGACTGATAGCAAGAAAAATACGTAGGCTTGAATTAAAGAAGCTGTTTGCATTCACTGCAGGTCTAAACCTCGATTTATATGTGGAAATACAAGTAAAGCTGACAACGTTGATAGCGTTGAGACGATTGTACTTGGTTAGTTGGACCACTTGGTTCCATCATAAATGCAGCTTTCGGTTTATAATGCGGTTGCTCTTCGAAACAAGCGCGTGCAGCTTGCGTTCTTTGAAGAAAAATGTGTAACCGATAAATGCTTGAATATTTTGTGCAATCCTACATCGCGATCTCACGCCAAATCAGTTATACCGGATGGTGGTGAGTTAAAGGTCCGCCTTTTCCTTGCTTACTGCAAGTTGTAGTCCCTCCTAGTGACATGTCACTCTGTGATTTTTTACCAGCACCTTTCCCAAACCATCAAATCCAAGTGCAGTCCAAACCCAAATTGAAGTTGAAGAACTGCACTTATTCTTTTGAAAAGTACAACTATGCACAACCACATGTTCATGGGGATGTGAGGGTACTACAGGTGAGCATGTCAGCCTGGATAGCCCTTTTTCGCGAATAAGACCTAGTGTTCCGCTTCCATTGTGTTGATGTTCAGATATGCCCTTAAGAAGTTGTTTTCCGAAATCCTCTACTCCGTGCACTCAAGCCTGGATTACTTATACGAGTTCTTTCACCAAAGTCCACGTTATTCATTGTCTACTATGCATGTATTAGCGGTGAGTAATACTCGAGAAACTGGGCAAAATCTGCGTGAGATTTAGTCTCACTCCCACCTCTGTCCTATTTTGCAAATTAGGCTAATGTCACCTCTTCCGCTGCATTGCTTGATTGCTAGACATACCGTGTTGGTGATTGTGAGGCTGTACTATACAGTGCAGCTTCCTTAATGTAGTAGCAACCAAACGCCTCCTTTTCCGCACTTAGTTACTTAGGGGGGCTACATGTCGCCACGAATTTTTTAAGGCGCCATAGTTTGCACCGTGTGCACTATGAACGAAATGAGACTTTACACTTTGTAGTAAAGAAATTTCATGTTGTGTGTTTTGTTTTACAGTCATTAAGCGAGTGCAAGAGCCACCATTGCCGAAAACTCTATGGTCGAAGAACACTGGGTCAATGCCAAAAAGTCAATCTGTACCGTTGTTTGTCACTTGGTAGCAAGGGGAGAAGCTGGTTGTCTCCGAAGCCCTCGTCATGTTCAAGCAATTCCTGCACAACCTCTCATTACTCTGTCACGGAGTTCAAACTACCAATTGGTAGTGGATGAACATGTTTTTTATCCTGTGATTTATGTAATTGTTAGATCTTGAGGATGGTTTACTTTGACCACAAACTTGTAGATTAACTGATGCTCTCACCTTTTCTAGAGCCATGAAGAAGGTTAATGTGTCACCCTATGTTTACCAAAGGAGAAAGTTCAGATGAATGCATGGACAGGGAGTAGATGGTGGTTCAGTTCAGCAGACTATGATCCGATTCCGAGTTACTTTTAAGCATTGTTTGAGTAATTTTTTGCTGATTAGTGGATTTAACCTTGAAGGCATTTGGATTGAGGCGACTAAACAACAAGGACTCAACACCAAAGCAACATTACTTCAACCACCTTAATACCTGTTTTAGGTATACGGTAAACACCTAAATGTCTTAGGAAATATCCAAATGGTGTTTTTAAAGTCGACGAGACCCATCACTAACACCAACTCCGATTAATTAGTCAGTATGATGGAAAGTAGTATGGACTTAGTTCGTGAGTGTCTCGGGAATTTATATGGCCACTCGAATTTAGCAGCTTCTGTATTTTGGCCACCACCTTATTGTCATAACGTTCTATTCATGGCCGTAGTCTGGCAATACTTCTAGGCCGATAATTAACCTTCAGATTGAAACATCTTATTACAGTTCAACTAATGAAAAAAATATGGGGACATGTGGCCTGCATAGTTTCCAGCTCGTGATAAAAATTTGGCAAAAATAAGAGTAAATGGAAAATTTTATTCACAAACCCAAGTCACCATGTGTAAGAAGAATCACAGGGGTGTAATTTGACCTTGGCAACCACTCCCGGAGGCAAAAGAGAGATGATGGTTGAGGAGGAGGCGTCTTCGTCCAAAGCCGTAGGAACACTGAGACCAAGACCAACTTCTAGGGTGGCAGTGGCTGTCCAACTCGAAGCCGTCAACTCTAGCGTAGTCTAAAAATGCGCGTCAATAAAAAAGGAAGTATTTTATGCCTTATTTCGACTGATCTATGAAACATAAATCTTTGCCACTCCATACAGTACCTACATCACTAATTCAATTTATTCCACAATTACATCCCACCGGACATCCATTCAGGCTTTCTACAGATGATCAAACCTTGAAGAACGGTCGTGTCAAAAATTGTTGCTATCGTATGAGTGGAAACTGGGGCTGCTTTCAACGTCCTATTACACACCGATAGCCGACTCACATATTCCACATGCGCCAATGCAATTCAGACACCCACAATCAGGATGGCAGGTAACGAGGCATGGTAATTCAAGAACCATCTCGCTAACCGAGGCACCACATTCGTATTCACCTACAGTGATGAGAAGCTCCAACGCGCGACCTCAGCAAGGCACTTGGCTAGTATTAACGTTTCAAGGCCTTCCGCAAGTCTGTATGTCAGTGACGGTCCTTGACATGGTCGTCGCGTTTCCAGCCCACAACATCACAGTCATTCAGTATGCTTTGAGCATTTAGGCGGCAATATGACCCCCTACTCCCTGCCAAGTACCAAGATAGGCAAGGTGGGGTAATGCTTCAGTTATACAAGCAAACCTTTTGATTTTGAAGCTTTTCAAGCAGCATTTAAACACTGAGGTGGATGCAGCTAGGTATGCCAATGAACCTGCAGTTCCAGTGTCGGAGTTTTGGAGGGAATTCGAGAGAAAGATTTATCGCCATCATTTGTTGGAAGAGGCGATTCAAGAAGTGTCCAGGCATGAGCCGGTGGTTGCCAAGAGCACTGCCGTTGATGTTGTTTTCCAATGTCTGGCCGACGGTAGATCACACGAACGTGGTCCCTGGGGTTATGACAACAAGCATTCAGTTCTAATTAGAGACGAGCATGTAGAATAATGAAGCTTAGTTGCATTTATTCATTTGCTCACACATTACACCTACCATGCATTAATTTGTTCATTTATCACGGATTAGTTTCTTCATGAATCTACCAATTATCCAGGCGAACGGTCAACCGTTTGCCACCAATTCATTTAATCACTTATATTCATCCTTTCATAGGTGGATATAAATAAAAATCAACCCATCCCAATAAGTTATTTCCCTACTTATTTACAATTCTATTTATTCGTTAATCAACCAACTGTCCGGCTCGATTCCTACGAGCTACTTACCCACAGACGAAGTGACACTTCATCCGTCCCAACAATTACTGAACGCCCATTAATGGCTGCCATCATTTACAGAAAATCTACCCACCCTACCTGGCTTGATCCAGTGATAGCCCCGTCACAAGAGCACAAATTCGGATAGCAGCAGTGCCCAGAAGAGCAGTGAATTTAATTTCTGGCAGAGGCTTACAGCCAGTCACTGCCTGCTCAGCTCTTGAGGCTGTATTCACATCCGAAATGACCGGTGGTGGGTGGAGGAGCTGTGCGTGAAGCTTGCGGATCCGTCCAACTGCTGCGGCCAATTCATCCACCATTGGACAGGCCTCTACGACCTGTTTGACCGTTCGCCGAACTGCATCGGTGTCTAGGAAGAAGGGCGAACTGTGAGCGACTGATCGAAGCGCTCGAATAGCAGAGATTTCGGATGAGTTGAGGCCCAGGTACATGTGTTCTGCCTGAAAGACAGAAATGTAGTATTGAGCTTGGAGATCTCATTCGTGAAACAGAATGATATATGAACTTTTAGTAGTGATTTAGGACCAGGATCTGTGGTCGCGATACCTCTCTATGTTCTGAGTATTCAGGCCTCAGTAAATTAGCTTTCGAGTAAAGTTAAATAGCTTACGGAAGGGGTTTTCCATAAAACATCATCCAGTCGCATGCAATGTCTTGAAGTACGCGAAGAGGGCGCAACATGAGGACTCACCGAAAGATATACAATAACAGGTAATCAGCGTACTACCTTTGTTCCAGTCTACAATTCGACGCCATGAAGGTAGCGGCCTCATTTTCACAGATAATCGTAAAATCGGTGAAAGGACTATTGAAAACGCACCAAATTTTGCCAACTGCCCCTAATTTCGAGTGCTGCATGAATGTCAGCAATGAAGCGAGGTCGAGCTTAGGAAGTTGGAGGTTTCTCTTTGAAGGTCGTCCACAATACGACATATTGCAAGCGAATAATAACATTGACGTTAAAAAGTGGAATTTTGAAGTGGTCCTGTCTTTCTACAATCGCCTACCTATCCTGTCTAACAAGTAAGGGGATCTAGTGCCTATTCACCAGAGTATTTCAAAGACAGTTAAGGAGCCTGTTTTAGTAGGACTAATGGATGCGGCGTAAACCAGATCCAAAGTATTGCTCATTCCTTAATTCAGATAAAACGACCACTAACGAGATAACAGTACCTTCAGCAACAGTCGATGAGCTTGTTTTAACAACACAGTCTGTTGATTTGGTGTGGTGATAGCGGCAGTGGCATCGAAGACGGTGGTGTTATTGTTCGGCAGACAGGCAGAGAGAAGGCAGTGGACAGCTGTGAGGAGATGACTGAGCCATGAGGGTAGATCACCCAGCCAGGAACCACCCTCGACAGTCTGCTGACACACCCGCAATTCCTGGCTCAGCACACGTTTCATTCGGTTCAACCGGTGGCATTGTTGCAGATCCACAGTTGGATTATCGCTTTAAGAGGAAAGAAGGTGCTCACCAAGGCATTCTATAGCGCGGTAGGTATACTTGACACCTTTCAAAGGTCACAAAGATGCATTAAAGAGGGTCTACATCTAAATTTATCAAAAACTTGACAGAAGAAAGGCGCTCGTCGTGGATAGATATCGGTGTGGAATAGAAACAAATGAGCCATTGGGAGCATATTGGTTTTGATTCTACATCGAGGCCAGTAAGAAAGCAAAGATCTAAGCCATCCAACAATCGTATGACACCTCGCAGAAGAAGCCTCGTAAGAAAACAGGGCCAATTCGACAAATTAGCTAGTCAAGAGTCAGCAACTCACTCAACATCCATTGGCTCCACCTGATGGTTTGGCAGCGTGTCGATACAGTCCAACGTGAGTCGACGCAACATTTCCACAGTGGAAGCGAGAAATCGTAAAAGTTGGTCACTCGTCGCCATTTCTGCACTCTCGTCCAGTCGTTGCCGCTGAAGATCATCGAGAATGATTGCCGAAAAGAAACGCAAGAAAGTGGGGGCGTATTTACCCCTCTTTCACACCGATTTTAAGTCGATGTTATAAGATAAAAAAGTGACGACAACAACACATTGAACTAGTCTAGTAAGCTTCAAAAAAACACTTTTCGTATTTTATTTGGAAGGAAATTACCTTGGGCATGAGACAAAGATCTGTAGAAGGCTTCCACACAAACGGGAAATGCATCGTCTCCTTTGGTAACAAGTGTGGTACCAGTTCTCGTAGGTAGGGCTGTAAAGAAAACAAGTGGTCTGTCAAGTTCACTCTAGTGTTGGCACCGCACGGGGAATTCCGAGAAATAAGAAACGCTGTAACATTTAGTGTGAATAATTCTCCAAGATGACTTTCGAGGCTTAAGACCCACCTGTGAAGTGGCCAGATGGCGAGGAAAATGGGCGGCTATTCCAGGCGCCCCTGGGTGGGCATTCAGCACGAGAAGAAGAACCGTGATGTACACTGGGTCCTCCCTAATCGGTTCCGGCTCAGAAAGCCAAGGATGGGCCCGAAGAAGATTGTACACGCAAACTTCTACGAAGGCTGGATGTCGACGACCCACTGCAGCAGCGCAACTGGGAGAATAGACAGGCACAATACCATGGCTCAATTATATAACTTGACAAGTGCTAATGTATTCCAAACATTCTTCATCAAGATGGGAGGCAACGGCAGTGCTACCTTCATACAACAGCGTATGGCGGTTCAAGGATTTTCCCACTAACCAAGGCGCCAAATCCATATACGCCTACTTGTACAGAAGACGACAAGCACAGCACACTATGATGATGAGAAAATTGGATGTATTTTATGGTTTTCGGCATGGTCATCGCTAATAATCAGGCCGGATGTGGAACCCATTGATCTTGGACGCCTGGGCGGCACATGATTGGTTGTGAAACTACATAAGAAGCTGACCTTCACAACAACCTTCAATTTCGAAAAGTTAGCGAACTCTGAGTTGGGCCAAATGAGATTCTTCTGTTGAGGAAGCGCATCATCATATGATTTAAGTGCATAATTATGCTTCCTAAGTAAAAGCAGTTGAGGTGTATCGAGTCACCACCACCAATAACGAATTGAAGCGGCTATTCTAGGGTGCTTCAGCCGTGGCGGCAAGTAGTTAACAGGCCAAAGCCTTCCAGCTACTAGGTAGACATTGGGGTAAAGCGTACATTCTAGTCCTTGGAATTCGTTTAAATTTTTTGCAATCCGAAAAGCCTTAATTAGACTTGGATACTCTAGCAAAATAAAGGCAATCAAGAAGAGTTGTTTACGTTGGACTAACTTCCAAACGGAGTCCCTATCCTCCGGATACGCCCTCAGATTGGCTAGTAGACCGTCGAGAAGGGAGAGTAGGCAAGGAGGAGAGATGAGACGGCAACGCGAGAGGAGATTGTGAATGCGTTGGCGAATCACCACACTGTCCTCCGCCAGTGCTGAGGTCACTATTCCTACCTGATCTGCCATTATTGGTACCTTGGAGGGTAAAATGTAGACGTAGGTGTACACAGAGACAAAACAATCAGTTAATAGTATCGGGAAAGCATATTTTCATAATAAGCATAGATCTGAGGTTATAGGTCAAGTTTTAAAGATGAGTTCCGACATTTTTATAGGAGCATTAGTGATTTCTTATCTTTAAAAGGAGGCACCACTGATATTTGACTAACGCCACAGTTTATATGGAAAAAAGGGGAAATAAACTAAACCCGAGTTAAAGTAAACATTGTATCAGAAGCTATATTTCTTCACCTTTACGGCAACAACTAGTTCTACTGTCAAAAACAATCAGAAGCTATTTAGTTGCAATAGTAGTGCATTGCAAAACCGATAGATTAGTAACTTATTTAACCTCCTAGGCGTTATTAAAAAGAACAAGAATCTGGCTTTGCAACAGGGTTTTCAACAGGGTGCACATGGGCAGAAAAAGTTACCAAAGTGTCGCCCGAGTGTTGCAGTGTTCTAGTAATGGCAACGATTAGCATTCATTCCTGTGACCATTTCAAACGCTGTTTGAACATTTAAAAGCTGTAAATGTTTTTCGACTCGGAGCATTTTACAAGTATTTTAATGGCCTAAACTGCGACACATTATCGGTGGCATACGATTTGGCTGAAGCAGTTATCAAAAACTAATGGGGAAAACGTGTCACATATATGTGACGCTGGTGTCGGGTGTGTTATAAAAGGATAAATCAAGTCGCATCGATATAGTAGGTACCATTAACAGGCGTCGGGAATACCCCAACCAAGCATTACAAGGGTTGACTAAAAACTTATTCGTGTCGAACAATTGCAAGCCTTCAGGAGAGGAGGATTGGTAGGATAAGGATGAAAAGTCAAAGTGCAGTTTAGCAACCTTTATTTGAAGTGTTCAAATCAATTAACTAATTTTAGAGAAATTAGTAGTAAAACATCGTTAAAATAAGCTACTAAAGCAGAAAGAATGGATCTCAAGTGACTCGATACATTTCGCACCGATTTATAGCAAAATGACAGCCATGAACTAGCACAGAATGGAAGCCAGATTTGTGGGGGAGCAAGTACGTTTAGAGTAGGTGGTTGGGGCGATCAAAAGCTATTTATCTTCGGTAGTTACACCTGAGTGAAGGAAAGTTGAGTAAATAAAGATGAGGCGTATTTGAGTCATATTATTCTCTTGAGCCACTGCTCAAATCTAGTACTGCCTGTTCAATACAATAGTGGAATGAATGGAATATCGAAATACAGCAAGGAAAGCATGGAAGACTCGTGGAAATTTGAGCAGGAAGGCAGCAACTTTTAACGAACACCACATGAAAGATTAATCACCCACAACCTTGTAATAATTTTATGTTGGTGCCCAAATCTTGCTCTGACAGACGCAATGCATCTTCCAGCTGCGTCGTAGCGTATCATCCATGAGTACTTGGCCTTCGTGTGAATAACTCATAGTCAACAATTCCGTCTACAGTCCACCAAACACACACACAAAGGAATCATAGTAGCCTGTGGGTGGCAGTGGTCCACACCTCAGAGGTGTCAGATGGGTGGCGAGTGAATCGCTCGCAAAACGCACTTCTCATCACAAGTCACTCACTCACTCACTCGACACAATCAATCCTCCAGCCAGTCAGCAAACAAAACTTTTCCAATGGTCCCTTTTTATAGTGCTCATGAGATCCAAGGACCTTCAATACTACCACCTGTCATCTCTTGATGTTCACGTACACCACCAGCAACATCATTTTCCATTCCTTGTTATCAACCATGGTACACCCATCTTAGAGTTGCTTTATCACTAGCACCACCCTATTTTGTGAAACCCTTTTCAAGCCCCTCTTTCCACATCTTCATCAAATATTGTCCATCAATTTCAGCAACTCCTACCACCTAGTAGGTTGAGTAGAGATGTGGGTTTTGGAAAATTAGTTGATGGATAAGTCGGAGTGTTAAAATCTCTAACAACTACACCGAAATCATTTAATGAAATAGCTTCAAAAAAGGGATTCAGTTATATTCAGGTGCAATGAATAAGGTAGCTATTTTCGTCGCACAAATAATCAGGAACAAAGGAATCAGTTGACTACCTGATCACCGACGGTTTGCAGGGCGGTGACAGCTCGAAGGCGGACAACTTGGATGTCATCGGTGAGCATGTCGACCAAAATGTCCTGGCAAAGCGATGCAAAACGTGCGTTGTGGGTTGCAATCTGGGTTATGGTCGAGAGTGTGGCACACCGAACCTCTACAAAACGCAGAAAAGAATGAGCACATAGATCTTCTGCTACACTGGGTCCTTTCAACACCTTTTCACACCGATCATATTAGCGGAAGATAATTATGAATGGCCAAATATACAGCGATGCACAGCAAAGCTCTAAATAACTTTAACTTCTGATATCCATAGTGATCTTGCATTCCACTTTACTTGTAAGTACCGGCCACGAGGCATCGTCTGGTGTTTAGCATCACTGATCAAATATTGCTCTCCCCAGCATAGTTTGTCTGATGGGATAATTGACCTAGAAATCCACGACATGCACAATAAGCAGCACTTGTCGCACAATGCAAACCCATCATTCCACAGCGGCTACGTGATAATAATAATATATATATATATATATATATGACTTTACAGACCTATTCAAACTCCTTCGATTTGACTACCGGGCTGGAGGCATAAAACCATGCTTTTACCATCTACACTAGCCTATCGGAATCTTTGCACATCACAAATAGTTTTTTAAACGTGAGTACTTTAAAAGGAGCAATGCATTTCATCAAAAATCGCATTCCTCAATCCCTCAAATAGCGCATCAAACTCACCGTGAAATTCGTCCTCCAGTCCGTTAATAAGTGCGCCTAGGGCACCGGTGGAAAGAAGAGATATTGAGTCAACGGAAACAGGACCAGCTGGAGGCTGAGCTCCACGCTGCTTTGATCTGGCAGGAGAGGGACTAGAGACAGTGCCCCAGAGGGCAACTTTATCTACTCCACCACTCATACTAGCCCTATCGGATGATCGCTTGACCTGACGGTCAGACATCACTGTCTTCTCCAAAGTCATCATCAAACTCTCCTCTGAGACAAACTGAAAGTACCGCAAGGGTAAAGGAGACAAATATCATGACATACCTTGGCTAAATCTGCGATCAATCCAGCGGCGGTCTCTCGAACAAATCGACTGGGATCTTGAAGACGATCGCAAACCCGTGAGAAGGCATCATCCACTAATTTGACACACTTTCGGCGGATTGGGTTAATTTTTTTTAAACTTGACCGCACATCCAAGCTGGCATTCTCAATTGCACCACCAGAGAGGCTGACTGTATCCAAAGAAACTTCTTTTTGACTAAACCGCAGACCCAAAAGATGGATGGCTCTCAAACTGACCTGGCGAACCTAAGCGAAATTGAGTTTACTTGAAGAATAAAATACCTTAGAAGTATCCTCAGTTATAAGCCTACAGGCAAGCACGTAAACTTGTAACCAATGATCCGAAATCCACTCAAATTTTCTTTTATTTGTAGCTGCATCGTGTTTATGCTTTTCGTACTGTGCCCAACTGCAGAGACAATTGAGTGCAGTGGCTCGTACACGAGCATCACTGTCCGCGCAGAAGGCAAGAATCAAATCAGCTGCTGTCATGGACCCAATAACTACATCAGGATTAGATTTGATCGCCAGAGTTGTCAGAGCACTGGCGCGGATGGATGCAAGATCACTTTGAAGGGCCTAGCGGAAGGAGTTTATGAGAGCGAGAACCATACATTTTGTATGTCAAGTAATTCAACGATGTTTTGTTGAGATCCAGACGGTTTTTGAGTTGTTCCCATAAGATGTCTATATGATGGTATGGATTAATACCTAGACTAGATGACAGGCGCTAAGCATAAATGTCGTGGCACGCCATAATTATGCAATGGAACAGAACACACAATAAGAAAAGTAAGAAAGCTTCAGTACTACATGAGTTTGAATATTCTTAATTTGATCTAACTGGAAATACAGAATAAGTAAATGCGTGCCGTAATGTACGGCAGGGTCAAGCGCACCCAATGCATTAGGCAGGCTAAAGTTGGCAAAGAGATTGCTAATGAAAATGCGAAATGAGTAGGCTTGTGAGAAACAGAAAATCGGTTCTAGAACTAAAAAGTACCAGCTAGCCAACCTAATCAATGATTTCTAATATTTTTATTCACCAGTGATTGGTATACATTTAAATCTGTACGCTAACCCTGCAAAGTATATGAAAGATAATTCACTGTAGTTAATTGGCTACCCAACGAATTAACTTGTAATAAATTTACGATTCTTATTCCACCATTATAAACCATCAACAGGGCGAAAATTATTGGGGGGATTTTGTGTTTTCAAGAATTTTAAAGTCTGAGGACTTACGTGTAAAAACGGCAAAGTTGTGGAGGCATGTCTCCCTGAATTTTCCTTGTCTGCTTGATTAAATTATTTTACGTATTACCTAAATAGGTCTCTTGGGAAGTTAAAAAAACTTTTGCCTATTTTGCCTTAAAAATGAATGTATGTCTAAAGAAAGTATTCTACCACGATGTGATAGGACTTCCCACCACCGCACAGTCCTCCAAATCGCTCCCATTGGCTTTGGCATCTTCAAGTTATCAGCTTTCGTTCGGGATAGACTACACCGCCTCACGTGATCCTCTACTCAAAATCCCCGCTACCTGTCGTCATAATAAACTATATGTGGAATGAGACGCAAGTGCGCAGGCTCTTAGGGACAGAGGGTACCTTCATCTTACCACTACGTACAACCACGGTAGCCCCCCCTCCAGATGACGCCTAGAACTAGAACCTTGTGTTTAAGTTTAGCGATTGGATGCTCCTAAATGAAAGTGGGATATGCATGTTCACCTGACAATTGTTGTTACTCAAATGCGTTTCTCCTCAAAAGTCATTTAGTCAGCAAACAACCCAAAAGGAGTCTCCTACTATGTGTGGGAGAAGCTAAAAGAATTACCTATTCACGAGACTTGCATGGCCAGCGACTGCGGCGGTCGACTCGACCCCGCGATCTCCTGACAGCAGCCAATGTGTGCATTCTTTTTAAATTTTGACATTCCAGAAAGATTTAAGCATTACATTTAATGATATTAACCGCATCAAGTTTTATTCACAGAGTACATTTGATATGCAGTAATCACAAGTTCACGGAGTGAGGATAAATTCGCAGACAAAAACAGATGAGCTCTCAATAATGAGGATACTGGTGCTGATGATGACGCCGATGATGGCAATGTTGGTGGTAATAATGAACAACTTTTGGGTGAAAAAGCAGAAGAAAAAATACAAAAAGACAGACAATTCAAGCTTGAAGGTTGTGTTGTAGTGGGTCCATCAATCTCTACCTACGACGTGGATGTTCCACTGAAAGGAAGAAGCCAAGACCAGACCGAGGGGGAGGGTTCTTTCTCATTTTTTGCGGAATCTTCGTTGGACTGGTCGTGCCGGGCGACCGGTGGACTGGAAACAGGGAGGATGGAATCTGTGGGAACCAGTTCACCTAAAAGGTCAAATCGCGACCGGTTGAACAGGCTACTCAGAAACCGTCTAATGAAACCAATACACTGCTAAACAACGTTTCGTGAACACACTGGTAAGCTTACAAGCAATCGGATGCTGAAGTCAAGAAGTATTTTAATACGTCCCCTACAAGCGTCACATTTACGTGTCATCCCAGTTTTCCAATATTACAGTTCAGATGACCAGTTCAAGTGATCATCGGTTTGAAGCCTGGGTTAATGTAACTCAATGTCACATACTAATAAAGAATACACGTCACATATATGTAATGGGTAGTAGCAAAAGGCATTAAAATGGTACCTTTCAACCACAACAACATCAAAATATCTGCTCATTATTTGGTCACGTTTAGTAATACATAGATAGCTCTCGACTCACCAATGGAGAGATTCAGCATTCGACCGTGGATTTGTGTAGAAACGGGCGGTGACCACCAATTGATGAGTTTGTCCAGATAAGGCACTTGTCGTAGCACACCCTGTTAATAAATTATACTAGTTCAAAACAAATTCACCTAAGTGGTGCAAAGCGTTGCATGAGCAACGGTACCACTTATAACGACCTTCAGTATCATCAAACTGGGAGTCTACCTCTATTCAATCACACTTTTTGTTCCAAAATAGATCTACACCTCTTCCGCATTCTAAAATCTACTTCCATGTAGCGCATTTTGTAGCGACATGAAGTGGTTATTTCAATACCTCCCAAATGGTTGGACCTTTAAATGAGAATCAAGGGTAAAATTTATGCCTCTCTTGCCAAAGATGGATGTGATTCAAGATTGCCTGCTTTACAGAACTTCCAAATTTGCAGAAGTTATTCGTTAAATGTACTCCATGTGGCATGTGAGGAAGGCAGCCGAATGTACCACCCAGGAACGGTTTGAATGTGACTCCGGTGATAGATCATTCAAAGATAGATGCATTAGATTCGGAAGGACTTTTCCTTCATGATGCCAAAAAACTACGCGCCGCTGTTGAAAGGTTTATTCAGGAACAACGCGTACGAGGCAATCCCTGAGAATTCCAAACTGAGTGGTGGCAACGCTATGATAGAAGGTAATTGTGAAATAACGCATGAGAAGTGGAAAAAAAGATTGTTCTTCAGAAACAGCCAGAATGGTCAAAAGCAGTCAATCCCACCTCATACCACAAAACTTGCCCCAAGGACGATTAGCACTTTCAGATGGGAGAGCTGATTAATCACACTTTCTTGATACAAGACAATCACATGCCCAATGGATAGTTGGGAAGTAGATTGTTTCTATTCTGAGATGGATAAATTTATAAAAGTGACATTCGCAGTAGACTTGTGTCACGTTGAGCAGGAGAAGGTGGTAGGTTATCATGCTTCTTATTTCAACGAAAGCGACTTTCTCCAATGGAAGTGTTTGGTTCCTTAAAAACTCCTAACTCTTTTGCCTGGTTAAAATTTTTATGCACATAAATTTATATGCAGATAAACAATGAAGCTAACCTGTTCACGCATTATTTTAGTGCGCTCCTCTTTCATATGCAATGTAGCCTCTTCGATCCCGCGTTTGACAACCTCCGAAAGGCTGTTGACGTACTGGAAGTCAGAAAAGTCCTTATCAGGGAAAACGTTTGAGTTATCAAATAAGTGTGGCGTTATTTTCATATGTCAATCGGTTAGAAAAAGTGTTTAATCAAATTCATTCAGCTCTCGGATAAATTTTCTGAACTTATGCATCAAGATCAGCCCTTCCCGAGGCAAAACCAATTCAATGACTGATACAGAACTCCTCCCTTTTAGCTGAAACTCAGGTAGGGCGAATTCAGCAAAACCGGTGATTGTGCTTAACTAATGTAGGCAAACCCAGTGTACTTTGTCACCACCTTTAGCAGGGATCAGGTGTCAAAGTGGAGGTGTATTTGACAAAGTTGCTGCAATTTGTATCAAAAATGTGGCTATCGTCCCCTTGTCATTTTAAACCAAAACTAATTGTACTCCTCTCCAATAAAGTACCCAAGTTAATATTGAACTACATAATTGATTTTGAGGTAATTTATACGGATTTGAAGAGATCCAAAAGGAGTGCAAATTTAGTGACTTCAACCCAATTCAGTAGCGCAAGTGTTGGTATCGTTTCAGATAAATAAAACATCTGAACTGTAGCTGTCAAACTACCCCAGCAGACCCACCAAAAATGATCCTTTAGTCGTCTTTTAACATCAAAGTTCTTCAGGAAGTACTTAACCACCAAAGTAATCGGGTAACTGCACCAGTGACCATCCCAAAACAAATATCTTTCCGACGCCTCTAGCACAAAAATGAGATAAGTTGAGGATCAACAAATGGGGCACATCACATACATTGCTATCCTCCTCGACAATGTTTGCCATCCGCAGAACCATTTGCACCATTTCACTAGTATCCGTACCCGGAGTGATGAGCCCAAATCGCAGACAGTGCAATTCCATCTGAGATATGGGAGCAACTCCATTCTCCCTATATTCTTCATTCCCTCCTTCTTCTCCATTCAGCAAGCTCGACTTAGAGTCTACACTGGACAACTGCCCAGTTACTGGCATGGAGGCCAGGCTCTCCAGTGCCTCGCAAACTCCAGGCACGGTGTTTAAGTTAACTCTAGCCGAGCTAAATGCGTAGTCATGGCTACGAAGACGGGAGATGAGCTCCCGGTTGAGTTCACAGATGTCATGCGCTGCTTTTGAAGGAAGACGAAGGAGACTGGTGGTGAGGTGATTTTGGTAGTCCGAAGGTGAAAGCTCGCCAGCATCGGGTAGGAGGCAACGGTATGTGTGTGGCACATAGCTACAAAGTGCGAAAAACCCAAACTGTCCTACTAGAGTTGATTTCAGTGGATAAAAGTTTAAATAAAGTCGATAGAACCTTAATTATCACTTTGACAAAATAAAAGTGTATCTGCATGTATTTAACCAAACAAGTCTCTTGAGTCTCTCGGCGTTCAGTCCACACACCAGTATCACACAATAATACTACCGGCCTCTCAGCAACTCTGCACGTTGATTAAAGAAGTGACTTTAGGTCAATGCTAAAATGTGTTGATAATAACCCATATAGATGATTTAACAGGAAAAAAAGTGGAGAGGGGAAAAGAACGCGGAGCACATCTCCACGGGTCTAAGCTGTACACAACCACGCAAACTTTTTTTATTCAATGCCACTTAACTTTTATAGGGGTGACATAGGGTTTTAATACCAACCACCCAGCTATTTTGCATGTGTGCGGTAATCACAGTTCAGTTTGTCAACCGTCACCACTGCGCTACTGAAGTTGATTTAAGTAGACTTACAAAGCAGCGCCCAGGCCAGCCCAATCGGGCAAGTGGTAGTAGTACAGCCCCGGTGTGGAGTCGATGAGTTTGCAAAAAGCCGGTTTCTCCCACCACGTTGCCTCCATTATGGTCTGCGAATTGCAGAAAGACCAGGGTGATTGGACAGTTCAGCGACCAATCAAATAAAACCGACAAGTGGAACGGATTATGCTTTTATGAATTTTTGCCAATCACCTACAAATGCTTCTAAATCACCATCAGCGAATATCAGTGACTTATTTGTTATGGCTCAGCTAAGGTATCACTTTCAGTCGTGCAACTTCACTGCCTTCACGATGACAGAACATTCTAGGCGCGTGCATTCACACTCCTCTGTACTGGAATAAACCTCCGAGGCTAGCGTAATAGTTAAACCGCCCTCAATCAGTGAAGCTATACTCACTTTAATTATTCCACAAGTCATCCTTAAAGTCCCTCTTTCATGCTTTACATACGATCGCGGTAACCAGCGTTCATGTCACCCATCAGTGGAATGCATCGGCAGAATGCCTTCCCTTCCTCTTCGGTGCACCTCCTCAACAACTTTTACACCACAAACTGGAAAACCATCTAGCCACTTCCAACTTACACAGTTGATATTGATAGTTTCGACCAAAGCATCAATATCCCGATCTGTGATGGCCGTAACTAAAGAGGGAGTAAAAGGCAGACAAGTTTCGTGATATGTATGACCCTGAGGCGATTTGATTGGCTAATTTTGTCGGCATGCCTACGATTGCAGCCAAAAAATCGGCTTAATCTTGGGGAGATCCGGTGGATTTTGTGAGGGATGAAAGCAATTGAATCAATTCTACTTACAGTTTATGTATCTAGTTTAGGGTAACAAGGCAAGTTAGATTCATTTGGCAGTCACTTGAATGCGAAGTTTATCACATTACAAAAGCTAAGGATATGCAAAGAAACCAACAATATAGCACACGGAGAAAACTCACGATTTACACAATCGAGGAGGGAGAAACGAAGAACCAGTGTTCCGTTGGACAAGAAATGCGTTTTGATAGAGAGATTTGGATACTCAAATTGTAGAGCACTGGCCAGCTTTAAAGGAAAAAGGTGAGTCGAAGGGTAGAAAAGGGGAAAACCCTCTCTCCT